TTTTCTTTTCTTTTCTTTTCTTTTCTTTTCTTTTCTTTTCTCTTCTCTTCTCTTCCCTTCTCTTCTCTTCTTTTCTTTTCTTTCCCTCCCTCCCTCCCTCCCTCCCTTCCTCCCTCCCTTCCTTCCTTCCTTCCTTCCTTCCTTCCTTCCTTCCTTCCTTCCTTCCTTCCTTCCTTCCTCTCCTCCTTCTTCTCCTTCTCCTTCTTTCTTCTTTTCACTCTCTTTCCTTCTCTCTCTCTCCCCCCCCTCTCTCTCTTTCTCCTTTTGGCCATTATGGTTTGCAACACAGATACTGAAAGATATATCCCTTTACCTACTTTCAACACTTAGTTACTATCCAAAGCGATCATCTCCAACTATTATTATCATACTGATCCTTTCTCTATGCTAATTGCCCTTCACCCCCACACCACACACACACACACACACACACACACACACACACACACACACACACTTGTGGCAAGCTTCCATTTAAAAATGAAACCCATCAATCATTAGATCCCCTCCACCCTGATGCCACCTTACCTCCCTCCCAACACAAGCAACCTCAATTCTGTTGTCATCAATGCTGTTTTTATTTTGTTGTTGTATTTGTTGTCTAATTCATTTCCTTATGTTGCACATATACAGGTAAAATCATTCAGTGTTCTGTCTTTCTCTGACTTGTTTCATCACTCACAAAGTTCACTTTCTACCATTTTTCTGCAAATAGCAATTTTCATCCTTTATATTGCTAAGTAATATTTCATTATGTAAATATACCACATCTGTATCTAATCAGCTTTCAATGACACTTTTATGTTTTCATATCTTAACTATTGAAAATAATGCTGTAATAAAATGCCATATTGCATATAACTTTTTGAGTTAATTCATATTTTTGCCTAGATACCCAAAAGTATCTACCCAGATCATATGTCAGTGCTTTTTTAATACTCTTTGAGAAAGCTCCTTATTGGTTTTCAAAATGACTACACCAATTACAGTTCCATGAACCATGTAATAAAGCTCCTTTTTCTCTCTTACACCCTTACTTACACTTGTTATGTTTAGTTGTCTTAACCATTTTCACAAGTGTAAGAAAATATCCCATTGAGGTTTTATTTGCATTTCCCCAATAAAAACTGATGGTGCACATTTTTTTTCATGCCCGTTGGTTATTTGTACATATTTTTTTGAGAACTGTCTACTTAGATCTTCAGTTATTTTTAAACTTTGAGTTGTTTGATTTTATTGTTTTTGAGCTGCATGAACTTATTAGATTTACAACGGAAAAATATCTCATTCAGTAGAATATTTTTCATCCCTACTGACATTTTCTTCCACCATTCAAAAGTTTTTTCACTTGATGCAGTTCAAATTACTAATTTTTGCTTTTATGTTTTTTTCTATTGACATCAAGTTCCCAAAGACATCTCTGATACTAGTATCATGGAATATAATATGACCGCTTTCCTCATTTTTTAAGGCTTCAAATCCCACATCTAGGTCTTTGAATTTACTTTTCTGTAAGTTTGGAGTGATCCAGTTTTATTATAGCTTTATTAATTTTTTTTGCACATGATTATTTTTTGCCTGTGACTAGTTCTACCAATACCACGTGTTGAAGATATTTTCCTTTCTCCATTGTGTGATCATGGTTCATTGAGCATTGCCAAGTGTGGCCCCAAATCCTTCCCTACCTCCCAAGCCCTTATCATACCCTTAATGTAATTCATAGCAGATTAAATGACAATTATGCATGTATTTATTTGTGGGCCTCAATTTTACTTGATTTGATCTGTTTTATTGCAATACCTTACTGTTTTTATTATTGTCATTTTGTAGTATAGTTTGATATTGAGTATTATGATGCCCCCATTTTCCTTCTTTTATGTTCTCAAGATTGCTTTCGGTTCTTGGGCTCTTTTGTTGTTTCATATTAATTTTAGTATTTTTTAGCTCTACTTTCTTAAAAAAAATCATTGAAATTAAATGCACCCGATTCATGGATCACTTTTGTTAAGAAGGTTATTTTGACTCTAATTATTTTCTCAATCCATAAACTTGAAATATCTTCTAATATTGTTGTGTCCTCTTATTTTTTTCAAGTCTGTCTTACAGCTTTGGTTATGTAGTTTTCATCTCATCTGTTCGTAGGTGAAATTTAATCCTAGGTATTTAATGCTTTTTGGTGTGATTATAAATGGAATTGTTCTTTTAGTTTCTTTTCCTTCTCACTTATCTGCATATAGGAATGTAACATATTTTTGGATATTGATTTTTTTTAATCTACCACTTCACTGTATTCATTGTTTCTAATAGTTTTTTAATGGAGTCTTTAGGGCTTTCTGTATATGTATTATCATATCATCTACAAATAATGACAGACTTGCTTTTTCTTTCCCATCTGGATTCCTTTTATTTCTTGGTATGACCTAATTTCTGCAGCTAAAACCTTTAATACTAAATGAAACCGAAGTAGTAAGAGTGAACAACTCAGGAAAATTGAAATATCTCAGCTCCTAGGAGCAAGACCCTTGGTCTCTTAACCTTGTGGCTTTCATCTCTTGCCTCTCCTGGGTGGCCAAACCATGCCGACTATGAGGTTCTTAACCTAAGTCACTACCCCCTCCGACAAGCCTTCTCAACACTCTGAGGACCAGTCCAAGTGCTCCCTCTGTGTGCTTCCTAAGTTCTTTGGGTTGTCTACCTTCTTTTGCCCAACAGTTCCATGTCTTGGTTGCAGTTCCAAGTACCTATGCAATGTCTGCTTCTTGAAAAGCCTTCCATGAATGGATGAACAGAGAGTGAAGCATACCATGTTCTAATCAGCTAGTCCCAGAACAAAATTTTTTTCCCTTTAAAGGGTGGTGGATGACAAGGTGACCTTCCCATGGATTTCCCAACTGTGTATGGAGCAGGATGAAGCTAAACCTTTCCTTAATGGTTACAAGAGGAATTTAGACATTCCAAGACTGACTCCTATTGCAAGACACTGCAGTAAAGGAAGGATAGTAAACAATCTCCTAATTTTGAGCTAACTTGAACTTATTTTGGAACCTTTTTTTTTTCTTTTACAGGAGATGGTATCGTCGGGTCTCTTAATCTCTGATTCTGTGACGGCTAGTGCGTGACCTCCAGGTAAATGCCGTGAGGGCACCAGAAAAAGAAATTGTTGTGACTGACCATGCAACGTGCTCAAGTCTCCAAAAAACAAATATTCTTGAGGTTTAAAAAATATTGCACGTTTGTTGTGTATGTTAGTGAGCCTGGAAAAGGGAAGTTTCCTTTTAATGCATCATATATGCACATGCACATATGCCAACACACATCCAGTTTGAGGAAGAAATATAATGATCAGGAGAACTGAGTCTCTCGGGAATTCCTGAAAGGGGAAATGTATCAAAATTTCCAGTCCTCAAAAAATTCGGCCTAAAAAAAGTCTCTAGCGTACGTAGCAGAGGAGAAAGAGAGGGGGGTAGGGAACTTGCTCTTTGCAGCAGGAAGTCTTCACTGCCTATCAAGTTCTGAAAAAACTCTTTTAACACACGTCCTTATTCTAAGCGCCAGACTCGCTTTTACCACATAAAGAGCAATATAAATGCTCGGAGCAGCCACATCTTGGTGTTGGGGAAACAACTCGACTTTCCCACGTGAGAAAGCAAAAAAGCTTCTACTGGGCAGTAGCCCAGACCTGCGTGAGGGGTTTTATTTGCAAGTCAATGAGCCAAATGGACGACCAGGCTAGCTGTGCCGCGTTCTGGGAAGCAAGGTTATTATTATCCCCTATTGCCCCACTGAACAATTTCACTGGAAAGGAAGAGTTCTAGCCTTGTGTGCGCGTACAGTGCCACACGGGACGTGCAGCTACGTGCCCACCTCCAGAACGACTTTATTTACAAAGCGATTACCATGTTATCTATTTGTTTTCCTTTTCCAGCAACAGCAGCCGTACTCAGCCCTCGAATTTCTTAATTACAAACCCGTTCGCTTCTAAATCAACCCCAAACCGTCAGGCTGAGCCCGGAGGGAGGCTGTGCAAGTTTGCACACACCCCCACCTCCCGGATCAAGGGCAACAGCAGAAGCAAGAAACTGTGTATGTGCAAAAAGGTGGATCTGGGGACGAGGATCGCTGAGTTTGTTTACAGAGCAGAGACGCCTCGGTTTGGATGCCAAAGCTACCAAGAGCTGCAAACGCAAACTTAGCAGAAGCACACGTACCCCGGGAGCGGCGAGCGGGCCCGAAAGCGCGGACCGGATTCCCGGGAGCGGAGGCGGGCCCAGCCCGCGAGCGCGCTCGGTCCACCTGCAGCCGCTGCCGCTTCCCCGCCCCCAGCTCCTGTCCTTGAAAGGAGCGGAGGAGAAAATATCTAGATGTGTGTGCGTGCATCAAGACACACGTTATCTACATCGGGTCTAACCTTCTGCCGCTCTAAAAACACAAAGACACACTCCTTGCTCATTGCGCTCTCGGGGAGGGGGCTTATTTGTCGGGCGATTTAAAACCCTACTCGGGCAGCTTAGCAGCCCGGGGAGGCTTTTGCAAAAGCCGAGGAAACTGAAGCGCACTTGGAGGTGGGGGTGGGTGGGCTCTGAGCCGCTTCTCCTTCCCCGTAGAAGGAGCCCTGATCGCGGGGTGGGAGCCGGGTGGGGGACTTGGGGGGGTGGGGATCTGGCCGGAGCGGGGGGCGGGAGGGGGGGCAGTGAGTTCTATTCCAGCTTCTCTCCGGGAGGGGCGCTCCAGGGAGCTGCTGTGTTGGCCCGGGGATTCGAGGAGGGGAGTGGGGGAGAGGAAAAACTCAATCGGGGTTGGGGGTGGGTGGGTGGGTGGGTGGGCAGCGGGGCGGCGCCTGGGCCCGCAGCCTCTGCGCACGTGCCGCTGGCCGCGGGGACGCGGCTCCGGGGGTCCCGGTCCCGGCGCCCCGGCGATCCGGAAACCGGGTTTTCGGCCCTCCCTCCGGGGAGGCTGTCGCTCCGCCTTCCTGAAATCCCTTATATTAACTGTGGCCAAAGCCCTAAGAAACACAGCTCATTGTTGGCAGCTGCCGGGCGGTCTTGCCGAGTTGCGAGGGCAGCGGAGAGGAAATAAAAGGGAAACGACTCCGATCCTGCCCAGCCGGCTGCTGCAGAGATCTCGGCGCCGACTTCGCGACCGTGAGCGCCCTGCAAAGCCAGCCCGGGGGCCCCCTCTGATGTGCTGCTGAGCCGGTCCTGGAGCCGACGATCCCGCCCTCGGTCTTCGGAGCAGAAATCGCCAAGACGGAAGGTAAGCGCGGCGGCGGGCGGGCGGGCGGACGGACGGACGGACGGACGGACGGAGCCGGGCTGGGGCTCCTGCCAGCGCCGGTCCTCCGAGGACTGGGTTTGCCCGGAGGAAGAGCTCCGACGGAGCTGGGGAATAACAACAGGATGTGCAACAACAGGATGAGGAGGGTTGGTTTCATGCCTAAAGTTCGCGGCCGGGCTCCGGGGCACTTCCTTTATTAGGCAGAGCCTGCGGGAGCTGAAGGGGGGTGTGGGCGCGGGTCTCTCCCGCGCCCCCGGCCCTCCCCCGCGCGCGATCGCCGGGCTAGGGGGAGGTGGGGGGGGTTCGTGTTTGTGCAGCGCCCAGCCGGGTTGGCTGCCTGGCAGGTCCGCCGGTGGCGGCGGCGAGCCCGGCTGCACAGCAGCCCCGCTCCTTGGGGTCTTGGAGAGGTGGTGGGTTCGCAGCCGACGTGCGCCCGGGGAGGGGAGACTTGGGGGACGCAGGCGAGCGGACCGGGTTGGGGGGAAGAAAAAAAAAGTGGGGTGCGCCGCCGCGGTGGGCGACACGTGTGGCGCGGGTCTCACCGTCTGCCCCTTTGCCTTGCAGGACTGGAAATGGCAGACCATATGATGGCCATGAACCACGGGCGCTTTCCCGACGGCACCAACGGGCTGCACCACCACCCTGCCCACCGCATGGGCATGGGGCAGTTCCCGAGCCCCCATCACCACCAGCAGCAGCAGCCGCAGCACGCCTTCAACGCCCTGATGGGCGAGCACATACACTACGGCGCGGGCAACATGAATGCCACGAGCGGCATCCGGCACGCCATGGGGCCGGGGACTGTGAACGGAGGGCACCCTCCGAGCGCTCTGGCCCCCGCGGCCAGGTTTAACAACTCCCAGTTCATGGGCCCCCCGGTGGCCAGCCAGGGAGGCTCCCTGCCGGCCAGCATGCAGCTGCAGAAGCTCAACAACCAGTATTTCAACCATCACCCTTACCCCCACAACCACTACATGCCGGATTTGCACCCTGCTGCAGGCCACCAGATGAACGGGACAAACCAGCACTTCCGAGATTGCAACCCCAAGCACAGCGGCGGCAGCAGCACCCCCGGCGGCTCGGGCGGCAGCAGCACCCCGGGCGGCTCGGGCGGCACCTCGGGCGGCGGCGCGGGCAGCAGCAATAGCGGCGGCGGCGGCGGCGGCAGCGGCGGCAGCAACGGCAGCAACATGCCCGCCTCGGTGGCCCACGTCCCTGCTGCAATGCTGCCGCCCAATGTCATAGACACTGATTTCATCGACGAGGAAGTGCTTATGTCCTTAGTGATAGAAATGGGCTTGGACCGCATCAAGGAGCTGCCTGAACTCTGGCTGGGGCAAAACGAGTTTGATTTTATGACGGACTTCGTGTGTAAACAGCAGCCCAGCAGAGTAAGCTGTTGACTCGATCGAAACCCCCCCACCCGGCCCCCACCCCCCCCACCACGGGGAGAAAGAAATCAACACCCCCCCCCACCTCCCACCCCCTTCAACTTCTTCGGTGTGAATTAAAAAAAAAAAACCAACAAAAAAAAACATTCCCTTAGACACAGTATCTCACTTTTCAGATCTTGAAAGGTTTGAGAACTTGGAAACAAAGTAAACTATAAACTTGTACAAATTGGTTTAAAAAAAAAATGCTGCCACTTTTTTTTTTTCCTGTTTTTGTTTCGTTTTTGTAGCCTTGACATTCACCTCCCTTATGTAGTTAAAATATCTAGCTAACTTGGTCTTTTTTGTTGTTTGTTTTTACTCCTTATTTCCTCACTTTCTCCAGTGCTCAACTGTTAGATATTAATCTTGGCAAACTGCTTAATCTTGTGGATTTTGTAGGTGGTTTCAAATGACTGAACTGCATTCAGATTTATGAGTGAAAGGAAAAATTGCATTCGTTGGTTGCATGAACTTTGAAGGGCAGATATTACTGCACAAACTCTGCCATCTCGCTTCATTTTTTAAACTATGCATTGAGTACAGACTAATTTTTAAAATATGCTAAACTGGAAGATTAAACAGATGTGGGCCAAACCTATCTGGATCAGGAAAAGTCATACTGTTCACTTTCAAGTTGGCTATACCCCTCCCCCATATGTACAGACAATAATAGGGTGTGGAATGTCGTCAGTGGCAAACATTTCACAGATTTTTATTTTGTTTCTGTCTTCAACATTTTTGACACTGTGCTAATAGTTATATTCAGTACATGAAAAGATACTACTGTGTTGAAAGCTTTTTAGGAAATTTTGACAGTATTTTTGTACAAAACATTTTTTTGAAAAAATACTTGTTAATTTATTCTATTTTAATTTGCCAATGTCAATAAAAAGTTAAGAAATAACTTGTTTTCTAGAAGTCATTGGGGGCCGGGGAGGGCTCCCTTTGGTGGCGTTTTATTTCTCCTCTCCTTAAGTTGAACACTTTATTGATGAGAGTAAGCATTCCAAAGGATAAATTACAGGACATGAAAACAGGTCATGATGAGCTTAAGCGGAGAGCAGGATTTAACATAATTGGCATAATGCTTCATTGTTATCATTGTAACGTGCCTCTTGGTGTGGTTTAATCAAATGCCGCAAAGTTGTCAAAGAGCATTTTTTTCCTCCCTTAATTGCCATCATGCTCGAGTGTACTCCAGAGTTGGAAAGGGTTGAAGACTCTATATTACTAAAAATGCTCAAGGTTTTTTTCACCAGATGAGAATGGGGAAAATCTCCAGTGGTTTGGGTGATACCTGGTGCAAGTACTTGAACGGAGGTAGATCGGAATAATATACTGGAAGATTGATGAGGTTGACATTAAATATAAATCTACCTTTATCTCTAGTGACGAGTCTTATTTCTCAGCCCAAAGAGAGGCACGCATTTTCCAGTTTAATCTCTGAAATAGCCTGTGACTGGTTTATAGGTCTAAGAGGAAGAGGGCACAGAATTCCACCTTGAGGCTTTCTATTTGGTGCGATAATATTTAAAATTTACTCAGTGTGGTTGACGCAAAGGTCAAATTACAGTCTTCACAAGATGTTCCCTCTTAAGCATGCCCTGTTTCCCCTGAATCCTAGGCTTTTTCTGCTGAAATCTGGGGTGCAAAGGAAAGAAGGATAAGATCATTTTCATTTTACCTAGATGTGTTATCAAGAAGCCAGACTACAGTTAAGGAGGTGTCAAGTTTGGCCTTATATAATCAAGGAAAGCAAAAGTCAGGCTGCCAAAACTCCAGTGCTCACTGTCACTAGCTCAGGAATTTTGTTGTTTTCTAGGCTTCCCTCTGAGAACAACACACCTACATTCAAGAAAGTGTCTAGTCTTTTGGACTTCACCTACATAAGGAATAAGAAGGAGGCTGAGGAGAGCCTCACAAATCATTTTAGCTGCTTGGGTCCTAATCTTAAATCCTCTGTTTCATCATTTTAAACATCAAGAGGAGGAAGAAACAAGTGTTAAATTACAGTGAGTCTGGCAAAAAAGACTGATTCAGAACACCTACACTCTATAATTTGTTTCCAAGGAAGGCCATGTAACATTAAGATGCATACTGCACTGTTTTTTTATATATATATATAGCTCTATAATTGACATTTCCTCATTAAAAATTATGTTCCAAATAAATAATTTCTCTGAAAAAAAAAACACTGAATCATTCAAAACTCTTTTTCACCCCATCTTAAAAGCTTATCCAGATTTCCCACATTAATAGTTAAAGGTGAAGTTTTATTCAGCTAAGACATGTCAATACTAAATCTGCAATCAGCAGTAAATCTTCTTGGCTAAGCATTTTCACAGTAAGTTTTTCTTTCTCTCTTTTTTTCCCAGAGGCTCAAGTGAAAAAATATGTTTGCATACATATTAATACAGCAATTCTGGTGTTTTTTTTTCTTTTTCCACTAGTGGAGTAGGGGAAGCTATTGAAGGCATTGTGAGGGTTTTTTTTTGGGGGGGGGGTGGGTGGGGTGAGAGTTGCATAAAGAAAGCAGCAAAAGAATTGTCCTGCTACCACCCTTCACCATTTATTCTGCCAGGGAATAAGCCACAACACCTGCTCTGTCACTAAATTTCTTCTGCTGTTCTAACGCCGGAACACGTATGTGGAGATGCAGAGCCCAAGGAACTATTATTAGTTCCTGAGCCTGTCTCTGGCAAAACAGAACAGAGGAGCTGGGTTAAAAGCACAATATCTCTTCAGTAAAAGCGCTGTCCCACCCGCCCTTTCTCATTCCTTCGCATGATCTCTATTTCATTAAAACTCTTTCCTGATCAACAATTGAGCAGATTCTATGTGATATCTGCAGGTCTCTCCAGCAGAGAAAAATAACTCCTTGTTTGAACAACCTGATTAATGAAACCTGTACAGTGACCTAGATCACCGAGCTACTGGCAGACATTTGCAAAACCTTTTGTGGTCTTGATTCCTACTAAGTTGCTTATAGCATATGGAGAAATTTGACCTCTGCACCTTGGCTGTTTTTCAAAAAAGTTCTAAGATGGTACAAGAGAGCTTCTGTTCTGTAAGCTTTGCCCACAAATAGACGCTCCATGCTTGATTTTCAAGAAGAGATCAATGATAAGCAGCAGCACATCAGGGTAACCTGTCAGATGAATAAGCACATAATAGTAGGAACTTGTACCTCCGCCTTATGGCCGCTAAAATCCTGGTGGCAGAGTCTTTGCTGGAGCGGATAAAGACATTGCAGCTATGGATGGGTCTTTGAAGAGTAGTTACCTAATCACCACTGTTTATGGGGTGCTAGGCTAGCGCACTAGGACCAGAAGGCTGACGTCTATTGTGAAGTTTATGGTCTCCGTGACTTTTACTACTGTAAACGCCTGGGATAGCTATAAATTGATGTCAACATTAAAGGCCAGATCCTTTAAAGCAAAATATTAATCCACTAATCTATTATGGGTGGCCAGCTTTGAAATATAAACTTCCCAGTCCAGCATATTAGGTGTTTTCGCCCCCTGGTGGAATTTCTTTAGAAGGTCAAAAAGAAAGCTATTTTCTGGGAAGGTTTTTGTTTTATTGTTTGGTTTGGGGTTTTTGCTTTCGTGGGTTTTTTTTTTTCCTTGCCATTTCAGATGATTTCATTTTCTCTCTTGAAACAAACAGCCTGTATTTAAGCAATACAGTTTTGATCAAAGAAGGTTCCAAAAAATTTCCCTTACTTACCAAAGACATGAACCTTTAAGTGTATGTCATTCAGATTTTCCTCAAAATATGCACTGACTTTTCTTTTTAAAGATACAGTGAACACGGCTTTAGAGATAATACTCTGTACCCTCTGTTAGGACTGCTGATTGGGTAGTGGTGCACGTAATAATGCATCTGATAGCACAGGGCTGGAAAAGTGGAGGAAGATGTTCAGGAATGCAGAATGGGATCAACTCCTTTGGAATGTGACCAAGCCACAGGCTCTAATCTTGTGAAAAGGGCCACAGGATGTTTAATAAGAATGAGTATTGCTGTCTAATTTATTCAGTGAAATTTACTTTAAAATAAAGTTGGCACATAACATTGTCTCCAAACAATAAATAAATTTAGAATTCAAGAAATTTAGGACTCAAGCCACGGGCAATTTTCTTTTCTCCAGCAGTATTGTTTGGAGAGCACAAAGGAGGTGTTACTCACAGCTTTAGAGATGGTATTTATCATTTTGGTACAGTACCACTATCATCAGAATCAGGGCATCCAGGCAGGTTAAAGCAAGCGAACAATAGGTAGCACATCAAGTGGCTTAGCAGATGAACCCCTATTATCATGTGTTCTGTTTGTCTTTCCCCCCTAGAATAGAAGGAACAATGGCAATGTCAGAATTTTAATTGCAATGGACTGGCTTAAATTACTTGACCTATTTTTATCCAGCAAGCAGAGAAATGATTCTCTTTTTTCCCCCTTAGTAGCCATACTTATTTAAATTGAAGGAAGAAATTTAAGGCCCTACTTTAGCAAATAAAATACTGTTTGTAGATAGTTTTCATTTGCCTTGTGGTAAATAAGACACTCCTATATATTGAGACATTTTAAGACAACTGAAATGAAGAAGTATTCCTCTGCAGGGAGAGTTAAAATTGGAAGTAAAGCTAAGTAATGGATTAAAAATATTCTGAGCTGCTGAATTTCAATGGCATTTTTTTGGTATTTACAAACATTATCAAAGAAATGCTGAGATGTAGGGGTTTAACAGTGTTCAGGAACTGAATCCATAATCCTTGAGGGGAGAGAAAAAGAATATCAACCAAACCAATCTTTCTCTGAAAGGCTGGATCCTTATCAGTTATTTTAGACACTAAAGTTGTTAGAGGCAGCCTGGGGGATGTTTGGGGGGTGTATTTTGAGAACTTGGCTTGGCTCAACTGAGGCAAGAGAACTAAACCAGCTGACACAAGCAGTGATTATTATTATTTTCTGTCCACATTGTTGATTTTCATTAAGCTGATCTAATCTAGAAGATTAGTGAGGCGGGGCCTGGATGTTGGGTGAGGACAGTGGTTGACAGGATTCTTAGAATTTTCCAGTGGCATTGTCATCAGATCATGCTCCACCCTGCAATTCTTCCCATAGAGTTGGTCCCTGATTTGGGTGACTGAAAAAGGGGATGAGAAATTCTGGCTCAGGAGTCTTTGGTCAGGCAAGGTCACCTTGGTATAGCTCACAGGCAATATGCAAATTAGGAGGCAGTTTTTGAGAAGGTAATCATGCTCGAAGAATCCCAGCCGTCCATTCTTGAAAGCTGGAAGTGAGGCTTGAGTAAAAAGTCATCTGGAGATAGCTGGCTCTTGATGGGATATTGTTTCAGGCATGTTTGGGGAGGCAGGAACGTGTGTGGTGCCATGGCATGTGCTTTCTCTAGGAAGGCCCTGAGTGAGATCTCCAGGACACCCAGTATGGTCAAGGATATGGGACCTGAATATTAGAATCTGTACTCTTTCTGTCTCCTAAAGAATGACATCAAATTTGACCTTGTGATTTCTTGAAGGAACTTGATTGTAAAGCTTCATTTATTTCATTATTGTTATTGTTTGGCTTCATAGCAGTTCATACCTAGGACTTAAATTATTGCAAGGTTGCCTTTGTACTTATTTTGTACTTATTATGTATTATTATGTATTATATTATGTATGTATATATCCCATTGTACTTATTATGGATAACTCTTGAGGGAGGAAAAATGGGGTAAAGACTAATTTATTTTTCTCTCTCCATAGTATTTGGTAGAAAAAGGGGTGATGGAACCATTCAGTGAAAACAAACTAAATTTCTTTACTTCCATGTAATCTAAAATTTATCCCTACATGTTGCTTCAATTTACATCCGAAACCATGTTTTATATCGGTGATTCTCAGC